ATGCCATGTTTGGTTTCATTCCATTCAGTGGTTCTCTAAAAGAAGACATTTGTATGCATTTCCCATAGGGTCCTATGTTAAACTAAGTCCCCTGCTGGCGGCCATCTTGGATGATGGATCCGCTACAAAGTAACAACACGTAGGTCAGCACCTCATAAGGAACATTCATGCCATGTTTGGTTTCATTCCATTCAGTGGTTCTCTAGAAGAAGTTCAAAATGTAAAAAGTTAACGCCGACGACGGACGACGGACGCCAAGTGATGAGAAAAGCTCACTGAAGGGCCAGGTGAGCTAAAAATCAAAAGTGAGCTCATGTCAATAGATATAAACAATTCACCACAATTTCTTGCAAGTTGGTGAAAGCATTCTTGAGTTATTGTACAAAAACAGGAAAATCCCCCTTTTTTTAATGAATAAAACCCCATAACTCGGAAAAGTAAAATCTAAAATTTATAAAAAACGAAAGGGAGCTCAAGTCAATAGATATAAACAATTCACCAAAGTTTTATGCAAATTGGTTAAAGCGTTTTTGAGTTAATGTCGACATGTTGACGAAGGACAGACAAACAAACGGACGGACGGACAACGGTATACCATTATACGTCCCGTAAACGGGCGTATAAAAATGGGCCAAGAAAATTAAGATTGAAGAAAAAAGTCTTGAAATTTTAAAGAATAGAAAATAAGGGGGTGTTAAAATATAAGGGATAGAGAATAAGAGGTTGTTAAAATATAAAGGATAGAGAGTAATAGGTCAAAAAAATAAAGATTACAAAAAATGGACCCAAAAAACAATGAATACAGAAACGGATACCCCTCTTCCCTGACCCTCACATATAATATCAACCCAAATCTTGCAGATAAACAACCTACATGAATGATATTTCCTAGTTAAATTGAGAGATTTTACTCGCTAGCTATAAAACCAGGTTTAATCCACCATTTTCTAAATAAGGAAATGCCTGTACCAAGTCAGGAATATGACAGTTGTTTTCCATTTGTTTGATATGTTTGAGCTTTTGATTTTGCCATTTGATAAGGGACTTTCCGATTTGAATTTTCCTTGGAGTTGGTATTTTTGTTATTTTACTTTTTGCTCAGCATGATGCTTACATACTGTTAATTCAGAAATTATTGCGACATTTTTATTAAACTTGTAAACTAGAGGCTCTCAAGAGCCTGTGTCGCTCACCTGTATTTACTGATGCTTTGAAAATCATGTAAAATAAGGTTAAAATCATAATTAATAGTATTAGATATTAGATATTATAACGATATCTAAGATAATAACAAAAAACTGCAAAATTTCTGTAAAATTACTAACTCCGGGGCAGCAACTCAACAACAGGTTGTCGGATTCGTCTGAAAATTTCAGGGCAGATAAATCTAAACCTGATGAACATTTTTGCCACCTGTCAGATTTGCTCTAAATGCTTTAGTTTCAGAGATATAAACCAATAAACTGCATTTTACCCCTATGTTCTATTTTTAACCATGTCAGCCATGATGGTTTGAAGGCGGGGTCATCGGACAAATTTTTTAAACTAGATACCCTAATAATGATTATGGCCAAGTATGGTTAAATTTGTCTCAGTAGTTTCAGAGAAGAAGATTTTTGTAAAAGATAACAAAAATTTACGAAAAATTGTTAAAAATTTACTATAAAGGGCAATAACTCCTAAAGGGGTTGACTGAAAATTTTGGTCATGACAACTTATTTGTAGATCTTACTTTGCTGAACATTATTGCTGTTTACAGTTTATCTCTATCTATAATAATATTCAAGATAATAACCCAAAACTGCAAAATTTCCTTAAAATTATCAATTCAGGGGCAGCAACCCAACAACGGGTTGTCAGATTTGTCTGAAAATTTTAGAGCAGATGGATCTTGACCTGATAATCAGTTTTACCTATGTCAGATTTACTCTAAATGCTTTGGTTTCAGAGATATAAGCCAAAATCTACATTTTACCCCTATGTTCTATTTTTAGCCATGGTGGCCATCTTGGTTGGTTGGCCGGGTCACCGGACATATTTTTTAAACTAGATACCCCAATGATGATTGTGGCCAAGTTTGGTTAAATTTAGCCCTGTAGTTTCAGAGGAGAAGATTTTTGTAAAAGTTAATGGACGACGGAGGACAGACGACAGACGCCAAGTGATGAGAAAAGCTCACTTGTCCCTTTGGGCCAGGTGAGCTAAAAATGTGTCAGTATCAGGGTCACAATAATAAAAAATTGCATTCACAATTTCAGTTGTAATTTTCCTTCATAAAAGTTTTTCAATCATATTAATTAGATTTCACATTTCGCCACTGGTCAAGGATTTGCCATTAATAAATACACAATTTACAGTATTCAAGAAAATCTTATGTTGAAGTTTTCTATGTTACTTCAAATTTCCCTGCGAATATTATCTAGTCCAGAGGACATAAATGATTTTTATCAAGGCCTAAGAGTCTTTTCTCAAAAATAAATCGTAAAACCAACAATGATCACAGGTTTCTCTTAAATGATCAAACTGTATGAACATTTTTTCTCGTCAGGTTTTTGTTAAATGAGTCATCACTGGCAAAGCACCAGTGTAGCATTGTAAGCATGTGCTTAAAAATAAGAAATAATAATTTTACTATAATCGTTTAGCTTCTGGGGGATGCTGCTGCCCCAAGACCCCCTGCTTACATTCTATTTTTCAGTGGCTATCTATGCCACTGGCCACAGAAGTTCATTTTGTGTAAAAAATAATGTTAATGCATTTTTTAATTATTGATGATATTCAAAATCATATTTCTAAACAAATTCCTATATAAACTTTTATGCAAAAAACAACTTTTATCTTATGAATGGATATGTTTATATAGCGATCATGTACATCCCCAAGGACAAGGAAAGGTCTCTGACAGACTGTAATTGCGTAAAATCATTGTTATCAATAGTTAATGAAAAACAGAATGAATATAAATTGTTCAGTAATATACCAGAAAACAACATACTTGGTATGCACATCCAATATGAAAATAAAAAGATGTGATATGATTGCCAGTTAGGCAACTATCCAACGGAGTTCAAATGACTTGGATGTTAGCAATTATAGGTCACCTTATAGCCTTCAAACCCATTCTGTAAAGTCAGCTTTAAAAGGCGCCGACATGAAAAATGTGAAACAATTCAAAACAGAAAACTAATGGACTAATTTATACAATACAATTCACGAAAAACAAATATGAGACATGAACCAACCATAACCACTAAATTACAGGCTCCTGACTTGGGACACCCTTAACCTTGGACAGAACAACATAAGAACAAAAGGTAATAAAATGCTCCGCTGGGGTGCAGCTTGATACGACCGCAGAGGTCGAACCCTGAACAGTTGGGGCAAGTATGGACACAACATTCAAGCTTGATACAGCACTGAATTTGGATTGTAATTAAATATTTGACACAGCATAGGTTTCTGACACAGAATGAAAGTGGTCTAAGAACTTAAAAAATTTTAATTTACCTTTTCAAACCATATCATTATTATTTGCTTTTATATATAAATCAGAAATAGCCAATTAAAAATGGAAAATTCTAAAGAAAAAAAAGGGAAAAAAAATCCCCCCTCCAAATTTTTTGAACCCCCTTATGATTCATCACCCCCAAACTCAATCCCAGCCTTCCCTTTGAGGTATGGTACCTTGCAGTACAATTTCAGAGAGATCCATACACTTGAACACAATTTATTGTCTGGAAACTAGAAAAATGCTTGTTTTTTTGGCCCCTTTTTGGCCCCAAATTCCTAAATGTTTAGGGCAATTACCCCCAAACTGAAACCCAGCTTTCCCTTCGGATATGGAACCTTGCAGTACAATTTCATAAAGATCCATACAATAAGTTATTGTCCTGAAACTAGAAAAATGCTTGTTTTTTTGCCCTTTTATGGCCCCTAATTCCTAAAATTTTGAGGGAATTACCCCCAAAATCAATCCCAGCCTTCCCTTTGTGGTAAGGTACCTTGCAGTACAATTTCAGAGAGATCCATACACTTGAACACAAGTTATTGTCTGGAAACTAGAAAAATGCTTATTTTTGGCCCCTTCTTCCTAAGCTTTTTGGTCTATTACCCCCAAACTCAATTCCAGCTTTCCCTTTGTGATATGGAACCTTGTAGTACAATTTCATAAAGATCCATACTCTTACACACAAGTTATTGTCATGAAACTAGAAAAAGGCTTGTTTTTTGCCCCTTTTTGGCCCCTAATTCCTAAAATTTGGAGGCAATTACCCCCAAAATCAATCCCAGCATTCCCTTTGTGATATGGAACCTTGTGATACAATGTCAGAGAGATCCATACACTAACACACAAGTTATTGTCATGAAACTAGAAAAATGCTTGTTTTTTGCCCCTCTTTGGCCCCTAATTCCTAAAATTTGGAGGCAATTACCCCCAAAATCAATCCCAGCATTCCCTTTGTGATATGGAACCTTGTGGTACAATGTCAGAGAGATCCATACACTTACACACAAGTTATGTCTGGAAGTTACAAAAATGCTTATTTTTGGCCCCTAATTCCTTAACTGTGGGTACCATAACCCCCAAAATCAATCCCCACCTTTCTTTTGTGGTATTGAACCTTATGGTAAAATTTCATTGAGATCCATTCACTTAAACTAAAGTTAGAGTGCGAAAACTAATGTGTCTTCGGACGACGACAACGACGACAACGACGCCAACGTCATACCAATATACGACCACAAAATTTTTTTTGCAGTCGTATAAAAATCAGATATAAATGGCTTAACTCAATTGATCGGCTGTTATGAATTTCTTTTTATCAAGCTATGTATAAAAACATGTAGTAAATACTCATTTATTCAATTAATAATCTGTGTGTATTTAATACCATATTTAATAATCTGTGTGTGTATTTAATGCCATATTTGCCATAACAAACAGAATATGACAATCTAGCAATTCATTTGCTGCCTTTTCCTTTCTATAATTTGTTCACCTCTTTTCCTTTTATTTTTCTTCTCTTTCCAACATAGTCCAGAGTTACAGGATTTAACAACAGCTTCTATAAGTTTCTTGCTCATGCCATAAGTTCTTCGGCCGATAGTGTAGGTTTCTGACAGCTGAAAAAATAAATATCTATCATGTACATGATTATTGTTATTAATAAACGTTGGAGACGTGTAACTTCCTACACAGGAACTTCATGCTCTAGGTTGGAAAGTTGTTGTAACTGCATTTCCTTCAGCTGCTTTAGATAAATAAGCCCATTTATTGACATCAGCCTTTTGAGGACATGAATAATTGTGGTGTGTAGAAACCAACTAGATAATTTGGGATATGAATTTATCATTATCAAAACTCAATCCCTGATCTCTGGCAGAGATTTTGGTACTAATTTGTGAGACAGAATGATAGTCCGAGCAACTAGTAACTTATATTTTAAAGTTCCCCTGGCATAAAGGGCCATGTGAGCTATTGCCATTACTTGGCGTATGTCATCCTTGTTATAAACTTTAACAAAAATATTATCCTCTGATACCAAACATTAACTGAATGATTCTTAGTGTATCTAAGTGTTAAGTTTGTGTTTTGTACCTGCCAATCAAGCAGCATGGTCATATGTCTAAAAACATCCTGTAACGTTTTTACTATCTTAACTTAACTATAAATTTGCTAATAATAGTGTAACATCTCAACTTTTGAGAGCAGATACCGCCATAAAACAAGTCACTGCCTGTGTTCACTTTCTAACTAAAATCCAAAATATGTAAAATTAGACAATAAGCTGCTGATACAACAACTTTCAAAGCTATTGGACACAATTTATATAAATCTGAGTACATGGAAAAAATGAACCATAGTGTTAGGAATGAAACTATGTACAGTTGAGCTGATACAAAATTACTTACCAAAAACACTTGTGTCTCATGAAACAATTAATTGGGTATGCTCAAGTACAACAATGTACATTTATATATGTACAGCCATCCAAATTTGTATAAATGTAGTCTCATCAGAAAACAATATAAATACAGTTTTGCTATTCAGTTAGGCTCCTTTTGTTATATAGCTCATCAGGCTCCTTTTGTTATATAGCTCATCACATATTCAGCTATTTATACATCCTTAGCTTTCAAATGTTTGGGTTCGAGTATCCCTGAAAAGCTCTACAGATGCACACAATTTATATAGCATTACTTTTAATTTACTGTATTTATAGTATTAGGTTTTGGACTTTCAAATACTTAAGCATCACTGAAGAGACCTAAATTGTTGAAATGTGATTCTGGTGAGGTAAAAATGCTTCCATTTAATGTTAAAACTACAGCTTAAAAGACCTAACTATAGTTTGTTTTAATATCAAATAACCACACATTTCAGCTAGAAGTTCACTCATTTTTTCAATTTTATTTGTATTTCAAAACTCTAAAAATAGGACGGTTAAGAGTATGAATAAACATTAGATTTTTTTAAATTCAAATAATTGGCAACAGCCAATTCATGATTTTTTTTATTTAATATCTTTTCAATAAAAAAAATACTCTTTTCATTAAAGATAAAATTATCAACTCAACAAAAGCAACCTTACATCTGTCCTACAGCTTATATCACCCTTAAATACAAATGTATGTTAAAAGTTTTCCTAAGGGATATGTACATTATTCCCTTTTGGAGGTTTGAAAAATAAAAACTTTGTAAGTTGCTACTGATATAATATTAGTAAACTGACAAGAAAAGAAAAGTGCTGTTTATGGTTGTTAACCAACTGCAACACTCTTACTTTGCACTAGTGTTCAAGGAACATTTTTGTTTTATTGTGATTCAATGTAAAAATAAAATAAAAGAAGAATGTGTCCCATGGACACAGATGCCAATGGTGAAAATGATGCCACCCATATACCAACTTAATCTGTGTTGTTGGTAATAAGCATTGTGTTTTAAGTTTCATATCATTTAGTTGAGGCAAACTAATTTACTAAGTTAAAGTGCTGAAACAGTAAATTCAGCAATCCATTTATATAAAGGGAAATTGCTTAAAAAACAGTGAAAGTGATGCCACCCAAATTTGAACTTGATCTATGTTTGGTGGTTATAAGCATTGTGTATAAGTTTCATAAGATTTGGTTCTGTATACACAATAACAATGCTTCTGTAATAAATATGAATAAGATTGCTACGTCATAGTCAAATGTCCCCCGCACTGTATTAATAAGGAATAAAGTTGTGTGTCACAATTAGTCTGGTAAAAGTCCAGTAACTCCCATAAATATGATCTAATCAAAATGAAGGTACCATATGGTCAATTTCACAGAATGCCAAAAGAACCTACCAAGTACATGCATGAGGGCTTTCTGTCAAATGGTTTCAGATAGTTGAATTAAAAACGTGATACTATTACAAAACTAAAAAATATAGTCAAAGTCCAATAAATTTAATAAAAAAGATTGGATCAAAATGACTGTATGATATTGTCAACTAAACATGATGGCAACCAATCCTACCAAATATGAGAGGTTTCTGTAAAAAAAGTTTCAGAGGAGTTCACTAGGTGATTTTGTCACAATGCTCAAACTCCCATAACTCCAATAAGAATATTTGGATCAAGATGACGGTCAATTACACATGAATATGATAATGGCAAACAATAATAACAAGTATTTGAAGTTTCTGTTAAATCAGACCTGGGGTCAATTACATGCCAAAGTAATTAATTACATTTCAATTACATTGTTTTTTTAAATGTAATTAATTACATAACAATTACATTGGTTTTTTTTTTTAAATGTAATTAATTACATAACAATTACATTTATTTTCAAATGTGATTAATTACATTACAATTACATTGCCAATGTAATTAATTGCATTTTCAATTTTTTTTATCCAAAAAACAAAATTTGTTTTCTAATTTCTAACGTCAATGTTACATATAATCACCATTAGGTTTTCAATGCTTATTATTGTTAAATGACTGTAAATGACTTGAATGTTCTTTGTATAACTTTAATCTAAACCCACCAAGTTACAAACTGTAAATACAAAGATACATACAAATAGAACTAAAGACTAAAGAATAAACTTAATAACTAAACTACTAAACTAAATAGTTAACAATCTGATCCTTTCTCTTTCTTAAGTAGATGTAAAGTTTATAAAATGAAAATAAAAAAGTTTTATAGATATTACTAGTCACATCATAACTAATCTCTCTTCCTGTTTGTTTTTTTTTAACTACGGTTCTAGAATATATATATCACTATTGTAAGTGTCACATAATCAATTTAAAGCTACTTCATGAAAACGGTATTAACAAGTCCAGTTTCAAAACAATGTAAAAGGTTCTGTGCGCTGGCACCATGCTTGGTCAACACATTAGCTATCTGTTCATTTGTTTCAATCCAATGAACAGTTAACTCTCCTTTTTGGATCATCTCCTTGATGCAACTAATTTCCAGTCTCAGTCTTTTTTCAGATACATTTTACTTTGAATGTACGGCCTCAAAAAGTTCCTTATTGTCAATCACACATCGAACTGGAATACCTCTTTCTGAAGTACATTTATTGAAAATTAGTTCATTATACAAAGTAGCTAGTGATGTAGCACAGTCAATACCATTGGCTAAAGCTAAAGCTTCACTAGCTAGTGTACTTCTAACGACCCTTCTAATTTTCTTGGATTGTCATGTAACTAGATTGATTTTCCCATTTTCTCCAAGTACCATAATCACAAACCCTCCTTGACTTCCCCATCTGGAAGATTTCCAAAAGAAGCATCAGTATATAATAAAAGTTCTACATGTTCTCCAAGTTCCTTGAAATGAAGGGACACTGGATCATTTCCAACTTTCCTTTAAAGCTTGTTCACTCTTTTCAGGTCTTCAACAGTACTTTTCTTTAACTTTGATGCAATCATAGCGATGTCAAAAGCAATGTCGGGACGAGTTTGTTTTGCAAGCCACAACAGTTGTCCTACTTTTGATCTTAGAACAGTTTGTTCGACTGATGAAAGTTGAGAATCATTTGGCCTTTTTCTATCAATTGAGACTGTCTTTAACACTTCAACATAATCTGTCTGACTCAGTATAATTTTATCATCAGCATGACTTAGACCCAGTCCTAAATATTTGAAAGATTCTGAAGCTTCTTTTCCGACATTGAATTTCTCTCTTATTTTTGATATAACCTCAGTTTCAAACAAATTGGAACCTGCCCACAAAAAATCATCAACATGAACTGCTAGTACACCAGCCAGACCATTGGAATTATGCCAGTAAAATACTGCTGGGTCAACTTTAGATTCAGTACCTCCACATTCATTTAGGGTTTTCTTAACCTTTTCATACCATTTCAAAGAAGCATCTGCAACACCATACACACATTTCTCTAAAAGCCAGGTTTTTCCATAAGCATTAGCTTCCTTAGGTGGAAGAAGATGAACTTTTCTTTGCATTTTCTCTCCTTGCAGAAAGGCTGTTTAAATGTCAATGGAATTGATGGACCATTTCTTTTGCATTATTATTGAAAGAATGAGTCTAAGAGATTGTTTGTCACATGTAGGAGAGTTCTTCTGTATTTCATTCAAACAATCTTCTTCGAAACCTTTTGCAACGAGTCTTGCTTTCCTGTGTATTTCATTATCAGCTTCTTTTATAGTATATACCCATCTAGTGGATAGACATGACTGACCATAGTCTTCAACTTCTTGATAAACATGATGTCTCTTCCAATTTTCAAGTTCAGCTTTACGAGCATCACAAAAGTCAATCTCATTGAAGAATGCTTCTTCTGATTCTTCGTCATCCTCTATATCCTGATCTGTGTCAGACTTTATAACTTCCAATTCATTAACTGTCTATTGACAGCTTGTTACCTCTAAGGTCTTCATGTTTCCTATATTCTACATTGTACCAATTCTTTTTATTTGACGATGCTTTACCAGCTCTACTCAGAACAACTCCTTCTCGTGGAGTATCATCACCTGGCATTTTAAAGTTCACTTTTTGGTCCTTTTTTAAAAGTATAGCTTTATTACACTTAGAATCAACACTTCTACTGTGCACTAGAGAAGTTGCTTGCTTAGTTAACAATTATTTGATTGCATTTCTTATTTTTATAGGAA